GGTCTGTGTGGGCTCGGGGGATAGGGGAGCCGTGGGGGGATGCGTGGGGCAGGGGAGAGACCTAGCTGCGTGGGGCCTTTGCGGGGGAGGCCCTCGTCGGTTGGGGGACGCAGGCAGGGGGCGCCCCGGTCCCCTAGGAGAGGCCCCGTCTGTGGTGGTGCATGGCGGGGGGAGGCAGTGGGCTGTTAGGAGAGCGTCCTGTTTTGCCTATCTTGTTTGTGCTGACTGAACTCCTGCCGTAGCTGTGCCTCCGAAGACAGAGGCAAAGGCCAAGGCGCTGAAGGCCAAGAAAGCCGTCCTGAAGGGGGTCCACAGCCACAAGAAGAAGAAGATCCGCACGTCGCCCACTTTTCGGAGGCCCAAGACCCTGCGCCTGCGGCGACAGCCGAAGTACCCCCGGAAGAGTGCCCCACGGAGGAACAAGTATGTGTGGGGCATTGGCTTCTGCTGTGGGGTTTGTAGGGTGGGGACAGTCCCACGTGTGGGCCAGTGTGGGGGCATGTGCCCTTCCAGAGACCCCAGGGTGAGACCTTGCCAGTATGCTGCTCTGGGGGCTGAGCCACGTCTTGGTGCCAGAATGTTGGGTTCAGTTGTTGGGGTGCAGGTGATGATTATATGCGACCAAAGCCTGAGAGCTTGTGATTAGAACTTTTTTGGATACTGATGCACCTCCAGCTTTCTTTAGATGGTATATGTAGTGTTTGAAAGCCCTCAAAGTCTGGCAGCAGCTTCTGGTAGCCTTTTGTAACCGAAGGATTTATTTCCGACAGGCTTGACCATTATGCCATTATCAAGTTCCCTTTGACCACAGAATCAGCCATGAAGAAGATAGAGGATAACAACACTCTAGTTTTCATCGTGGATGTCAAGGCCAACAAGCATCAGATCAAACAGGCTGTCAAGAAGTTGTATGATATCGATGTGGCCAAGGTCAACACACTGATTAGGTGAGCAAGAGGGGAAGAAGAGGTGACACGTGGGTATGGATGCTTCAAGTGCCCCGAGCGGCTTTTAGCAGAAAACTCGAGCACCTATGACTTTCAGCAATGTTGGAGATACTCTCAGGAAGTGTGGGGTTAAGCACTGTGGCATTCATAGTGTTACAGTTCTGATAAATGCAACTCATATCTGAGTGCATCTTAGTGGGAGTGTAACATGGTAGACCAGAAGTTTGGCTTCCTCAGGGACCTCTTTAACACTGAGAGCTGTGCAGATGATGTAAACTTTTTTTCCACTGAGTGAACTGATGTTTCCAAAGGAACCACTGATGCACGCTGCTACAGCAGGCATGTAGAGTGAGTAGGGGGAGCTGTGTACCTCTGCTGATGCCTCTTGTTCTGCTCCAGGCCTGATGGGGAGAAGAAGGCTTATGTCCGACTGGCTCCAGATTACGATGCACTGGATGTAGCCAACAAGGTGAGAAATCTTTGAAACTTTGTCAGCTCCCGTTTGCTCTCATGTTTTCTGCGCCAGGCTGTTCTTCCTAGTTTTCACATGAGATACTTGTGCTTAAAGCAAGCACACCACCACTTCTATGGAGCGTCCTTGCTGTTCAGCTGGATCTAGCAGTGTTTATAAGCAAGGCCATATTGTAAAGTTGTAATGTTACTGACAAAGGTTTGCTGCAGTTCTGTAACTCCTCCAGGGAGGGCTGTACTCTGTGAGACTTAAGAGCCCTGAAGGTATTGCAGGGGGAATGATGCAAAAGCTTATTTGCAGCTTCTCATTTGAAACAGCATTTGTCCTAATGGCGCTCTTGGCCAGTGCGGTCCATCTAAGTAATGTTGCTGGCTATTACAAGAAGAGATGATCTCTGAGGCCCTTGCTTTGTGCTCCTGCACTGCTGGCCTGGCTGAAGGAGGATTTTCTGTTGTGCCGGTGGCTGTATTGTTGAAAGTGGTGAACAGTTTTTAGTCTTTCGTATGGTTGAGGGTAGGTAAGAGGCAGTGGTGATAGGTATTGGAGCAGGGGACCATGGTTGTGTGAATCAGCACGAGGATCACGGTGGAGTAAATGTGTAATACGGCTATGTTAGAAGAAAGACACTTGGGTAAGTCTGGGAGGAGCAAGGCTGTTCTCAGAGGACAGAAATCCTGGGGAGATGCAGCAGTAGCAGTAATGTTGTGTGGAGAGCTCTGCCTTTCTGTTGCTGTAACTTCCGTGTGAACATGTTTTGCTTCTTTCCAGATTGGAATCATCTAAACTGCATCTACCAAGGACTGTACAGATGGGATAATAAACCCTGTAAAACCACTGAAGGGCTCTTGTGTTTTGTGACTGCACAGCCCAGGCAAAAGAACACCTAGGAGACTTGGGGCTGCATTTCGGTAAACACTTCCTTCCGTGCTTGTGCTGCAGCATGGCACTAGGCTGGCAGGAATGTGATGTTAACTGTGCTTGGTGAAAAGTTCATACAGGTTCATGAGGGGGTGTGTTGCTGTCCCTTGCCTGGTTTCTCATCACTGGGGAGCTCTTGGATCACTGTGCTGTGGGTAAACTTAAATGAGGTGACATTCTCCTGAATCTGAAATACACTGTTTACCAGAGATGTGTGGTATTCTCCTGTCTTGTTGCACTGTGTAATTGACATATGCTTGCAATCATTGTTCTACGTGTCCTACATAGCTTCCTCAGGGTATCACTTTGGATATGCTAAGGAGTGTTCCACAAGCTGATAAGTGTTCAGGAGGTAGGTATTAACCACAAAAAAAGTGTTTATGGCTCAGATCTAGCAGCAAGCTGGGTATTGCACGTTTTCCTAGTTTTATCAACTTTTAATAGACGATAGACTTCACAAAACCCTCAAAATAGTGACTGTTTAATAGCAAGCGCTTCTTTTGTTTTCTAGCACGATCCTTACGCCCTTACTGCAGTGTATGAATTGCAGTCTGATTTCCCTGACAGAGCTCCTGTTATGCTGCCTGTGACCTCGCTGCGTTCATGGTCCTAATCAGCTGTTTCCAAACTAGCTGCTGTTGCTACCTTTGCAGTCTTTTGCTTCCTCAAGTTTTTAGATGAAATCAGCTTTTCAGAGTGTGTGGAGGATCATAAGAATGTGGAGCACTTGAGAAGCAGGAAATAGAAATAAAGTACAGATAAGCATTTAGAGATACTTAAGTCTTAAGTATATAGTTATGTTCTACTAAGAAAGATGGTGAAAGCTGTGAGCAAATATTGATCAGGGTAAAAGAGCTCTTGGGTAGTGGGATATTGTGTTCCCACCCTAGCTTCTTGCAGAGGGTGGTAGAGTCCTGAGCATGGGCACCATGAAATAGTGGTTTGCACTTGAAGGGTGGCAGTGAAGTGAAAAGAGGGAGCTATCCCAACTGGCACTGCTTTCAGGACCTTAGGGTAAAGATTTGTTCTGGGTCATATGAGCGCTCTGCATGATGTGCTAGGCCTTGGACCTCACTGAGGTCCTCAGCTGTGGAACTCCAGCTCCAGGTACTGAGATCTGCAAGGTAAGCTGCAAACCGCCTTCGATCGAAGGGCGATTCCCGCAGTAGTTGCAGCGGAGCCATTGTACATGTGATCTGATGGGGCGGATGGGACACTGGCCAGTGCTGTGGCAGAGGTCAGCTGGCATCACACCTTGGCCCTGTCTGGAGGGCAGCCCCGGGCATGTAACAAAGCCTCTGAGCTGACCTTAGCTGCCCTCAGACTCCTCCTTGAAGGCAGCCTGAAGCTCTCACTGGGTACAGGGAGATGGAGGGGGGAGCCCCAGTGCTCCCTGGGTTGCTGTGCTGGCCTGCGCAAGAAGTGAGGCGGGAAGCACTCCCTGTTTGCACTGAGAGCAACAGGTATAGGAAACTGCCTGGAGGGAAGAGGGCTGTGTCCCTGGCAGGCAGTCCCTCTCTGATCTGTGGGTGCTATGCAGAGCTGTTCTTTCACCCTGGGTGCGGGCCAAAAGCCAGTGGGAAGGCTGTGAGCCCTCGACTTCCCTAAGCCTGGGCCAGGGGCTTGAAGCTCTTTTGCGAGCAGAGGCTCTTGACAAGCTGTTCAGAGTGAGATAAGGCTGAAACGGGTGATAAGAGCTGCATCCTTCCCTGCCTGTGATAGGGCTCTGTTGCTGAGAGCGCAGTGGTGTGAGGCTCTGGGGCAGGCCCTGCTCTCTCCCTGGGTCAGGTCTGGTGTTCATGCCCAGGAAGAGGCCAAGCAGCAGCAGGGGCTCTGCGAGGTCTGCCTGGTCTGCCCCAGGCCGCCTGCTTGGCAGAGCCACGGTTGCACCCAGGAAGATGTGGGGAGAAAAGTGCCCCTCACCTGTATCACTGGGGGAGTAGGGCTGATGCTGGGGTGCTCTGCCCCATGCTGTGAGGAGCAGGTACGTGCTGCAGCCCTCCCCGGCAGTGTGGAAGCTGAACTGGGAAGGGTTTTCACATCAGCATGACTTGCAGTCCACCCTGACCCTGCCTCAACTTAGCCCAGTGGCTGCTGCTGTCTGGCACCTAGCGTGCAGCTTCCCAGCGCTTGCCTCTTGCGCCGGGGCTGGCAGCCAGCCCGACGCAAAGCTGCCCCAGCCTGGCCAGCGCTGCACAGTGCTGGGAGATGCTCTGGCTGGAAGCCAGGAGGGGAGCCGGGCTCCCTGCTCTGGGAAAGCTTTGTCATGCCTGACCCTTCTTCCCTGGGCTGTGGTGCTGGAAGTGTGGGGTGGCCCCTCGGCCTGTCCCCCAGCAGTGCCGGGTTGTCAGGGCAGATCCATGTCCACTGCATGCTAAGACAGAAGGGGGAGGGAGCAGTGACTGGGGTGAAGGAAAACTAGGAACTGGGCTTGACTGGGGTGTTTGCAGATGGAGTTGGTGGCAGGAGGTTGAAACTGCAGCTGCAGAGCTGTTGAGACACTTCTAATGGTAAGGCTGCAACCTGCTGGGGCAGGAGGGGATCCCTGCAGCTCAGCTCGGGGGCTCTTAGGGATGTTAGCAGGGGGCTTGCTTAACTGTGTTTTGGCACTGAGCTTGGATTGGGCGAGGTGGTTGGTTTGAAGCCTTAGATCCCTGCCCACACTGTCCCGAGTATCATGTCTCTGCTCTGGCTGCCAGGCTGTCCCCAGCATGCTGTCCCCAGCACACAGCCTCCTGCTTGCCCCAGTCCCTGTGCCAGCCTGGGAGTCCTGGGCAGGATCCCTGGCCCTGGAGGTGTTTCCCAGTTTTCTGCAGATGGGGAGAGTGAACCACCTCTGCCTCTACCCTAAGACATGCTACAGTCACCAGTTCACTCCAAACAAGCAGCTCTGTCTCTGCCTGAGTGATGTGGGCAGTGGTGTCAGTGGGGCTGATCCCGCCCTGCAGCAGGGGCTGGGCAGGAGTCTCTCTAAGCCTAGCTGCTTACGCTAGGCCAGCAGGATCCCAGAGCTGTCATGTCAGCAGGATTCGTCTTCCCAGTGCTCTGGTGCTCCGTGGGACCGGCTGGGCTGGCTCAGCCCTGCTGCTCTGGGGGAGCTGAGCTCCTCCTCTTCCCCCCACTGCCCTGAAGGGCTGCTGGAGGCGGCTGGCTCCTCCTGTCCCTGCAGGAGAGGGCCCATCACCCTCCTGTCAGGCTGGAGCCATGCCAAGCTGAGGAAGACTGCTCCTGGGGGATGTGAGCATGAGCTGTCTTCCAGGAAGAGCCTGTGGCCTCATGGCCTTCCCATGCCAGCTCTGCTTCATGTGGCTCCTGGGTGAGTCATGCAGCCCCGGCAGGCCTCTTGCGGGCAGGTCATGGACTGCAGCGGGGCTTGGTGCCTCACTGGGCTCCTTCCTGTCTGCTCCAGACCCCCTTCCCCTGCTCAGCCCCACATCCAAGGAAGCTCAGGGCACACAGGTATCTCTGGAAGAGTGAAGAAGAATGGAGGGAACAATCTGCAGGAAGGCTGGAGTCTTGCTCTGCTCTCTCTAAGGCTCAGCACAGTGGGATGGGGCTAGTGGGACTGGATGGGCTGGGTACATCCCTAATGGGTCTCTTGAATGATGTGAGGAGCAGAAATGTGCCATCTCCTTCCCTGCGGGCTGTTGGCCCTCCTCTGGGAATGGAGGCGCATCCTTTCCCATCTCCCGGTCCCCCCACTCCATCCTCCCCTTAACGCTGCCTCTGCGCTGGGAAGGCGGCTGCGTGCTCTGCTCCACAGAAAGGCCAGCCCAGGCATGCTGTGGCAGCAGTGAACAGACTGATTTAATGCATGTAACAACAACAACACAGGAGGGACTCGTCCCTTCCCTTGCAACTCTCAGGCCATCAGCTGCGAAAGGCGGCCACCCCTGGCCCTTAAGTGCCCTGCACAGAAACCGGCTTTGGCTCCCTTCCCCTCGGTTTGGCCCCTGGCTTTGGCAGCATCCCCGTGGCTTTGCAAGGCTGTCAGACTGGTCCAGCAGGGTGGTGCTTGTAGGCAGCAGAGCGGGCGAAGGCTGGGCCTGTGGCCAGGGAGCGAGCCCTAAGGCACATCAGAGCAGGTATGGAGGGCCTGAGGCCTCCGGGAGCTGGAGACTGGCTCCTGCCCCGGCATACATGTCTCTCAGTCTATTAGAAACTTCTCCCCGTCCACGTCTCTCCCTGCAGAGGCCTTGTGCAAGGAGGGGAAGAAGTCGGAGCGCAGGAGGCGGGAGAAGTACATGAGGATCATGGCATCAAGCAGCAAGAGGTTGGCCATGAGAAAGGCACCCTGGCCCTGCACCTCCACGTAGCGTAGGAAGTACCAGGTGAGGTAGGCCTGGGGCGCCAGGCGGAAGGCGAAGTACATCACCAGGTTGACGTACTTGTTGACCTCGTAGAGCACCGGGGAAGGCACGTTGCTCATCTTCAGCAGCATGCGCGTGGTGAGGAAGATGTTGCTCACCTCCACCAGCAGCAGCAGCATCGCCGCCACCAGGAAGCGGCCCGTGATGATGAGTGAGACGAAGGCAGAGATGGCCTGGCAGGCAGCACAGCAAGGTCAGCCCCCACCCTTGCCCCGCTCCCCAGCCTGAGCGCAGCCCTGGGGGGAGGGTGTGAGCCCATCCAGGTCTTGCTCACCAGCCCATCCCTGGGGTCTGAGCAGACCCTAATGGGGGGCACGCAGTGCTGTTCCCCTTCAGCTGGCATCTCCCCCCCTCCCAGAGATCGCAGTGGCTCTCCGGGCACCTGGGCCAAGGGAAAACCAATGTCTTGAGAGCCGGCTTCACCGGGACCGGTCCCATCACCTGGCAGCGGGGAGCTGGGACCAGCCCCGGCGCGGCAGCCTCTCT